AATAGAGTTAATAATCGTCATCTTTCAAATTTATGTATACTTTTAAAACGTATAATACTAGTATATTGCGTAGGTACACATGGTTTTGTGATTTTTTTTTACATAAAAAGGTTCTATTAAAAGATTATAATCCAGAGGAGCAGATTCGATTCTTCTAATTAGTTATGTCATTAGTACTGTCAGATTTTTCAGATATATCATTACCATTTATGCTTTGCGTGACCTCTAATTATTATGACTCCCATTGAGTCACTTAAATTATTATGAATCCTATTCCCTCTTTCAATTTTTTTTATTTAAATCATCCCATTGATTACTTTTATCTCGTGAAGTCATTTTATGCATAGAAAACAATTATTTAATTAGAAAAATTCTTAAAGAGAAATTTCAATATTGGCAATTTTTCATTTGACTCTTTTTTTTAATTTTTGGTCTGAATACATTGACTTTAAATTAGGAAAATAATTAGTATATAGAAACGGAACGAGTTCTCGTCCGTCTTGTCTCTAATCTCGCGTCCCTTTTCTTGCTTGTTCACTTTGCGCTCTCTCTCTCTGTGTAATTCCCGTGAAACTTTCCCGGAGCTTTTCTCGGGAAAAATCTGAAGAAGATTGGAGATTGAGACACGTAATCAATCAATCTCCGGTTTCGTAGAGATCTGAACGAGTTTTCCCGATGGGAACGCTTCAGTCATGGCGTAAAGCTTACGGAGCCCTAAAAGACACCACCAAAGTCGGACTTGTCCGAGTCAACAGCGATTACGCCGTACGCGTTTTCCGATTTCCCTCAATTTCTTAAACATTTTTTATTTTGATTTTTGTCCGTTTAAAATCTTCGGAAGAAAATTTCTGATAGATTCGGTTTTTCTGGGAATTTTCGTGTATTTTTAGGATTTAGATGTTGCCATAGTCAAAGCTACTAATCACGTCGAGTGTCCTCCCAAAGATCGCCATCTCAGAAGTGAGTGATTACTTTTTTTCATTTCTGTGAAAATTCTTAGATCTGATTCAATTGAGTGATTTTTCTCTATTGTATCATTGTTGCAGAAATCTTCGCTGCAACGGCAGTGACTCGTGCTCGAGCAGATGTTGCCTATTGCATTCACGCCCTTTCACGGCGTTTGCATAAAACCAGAAACTGGACGGTACTGTACATGATTCTCAGTGAACTCTAGGGTTTGAATTTGTGTTCATTGTTGTTCCTGATTGGTGCTTGAATTTGTGTTCGAGTGTAGAGAGCATATGGATAGTTTTTGAAGTTCGAAGTTAGTTCATGAATTGATTGGTTTATGTGTCTTTGCTCTTAGGTTGCACTGAAAACACTGATTGTAATTCACCGGCTACTTAGAGAGGGAGATCCGACATTTAGAGAGGAGCTATTGAACTTTTCGCAGAGAGGGCGAATTCTGCAACTTTCTAATTTCAAGGATGATTCAAGCCCTATTGGTAAAATTTTGATTCAGTGTTTCTGCTTCATTTGTGTGGCTTGTCTGTTGGAATCAAAAGAGGTTGCTATAGAATGTTAACGTTAATTGGAAG